ACATCGGTCGTTTACAGATTTAACACTGGACCGACATTCATAGATACATATGGACCCAGTTGTCATTTTTTTTCCAACAAATAGCGTCAACTACCTCTTCCATGTCAGTTTTTCCAACAAATAGCGTTACATCTTGCATAGTGTCAACTACCTCTTCCATGCCAGTTTGGCCAACCAGATCGGGCCACTCTTGCCCCGGAACAGTCGGAGTAGGGGCAGCCATGATCAGGTACTGTCCTTAGCTTTTCTCTATTTTGAAACTATTATAATACCAATAAAAATCAATAATCAAGCAACATTGACATAGTCAATAGAAATTAACATAACATGTTGTTTTGAATGGCGTCAAAAAAACATGTTGTTTCGAACTGATGCTCGTCTTTAATTTGGCAAGAATAAACTTGATACTGCGATAGACATCCTACTTTCATACTAAACAGATGTCTTAATGGATTGCTCCAGGTCATATACTAACCGAGCAGCAAACAGTCTACTAAATTGTTAAAAGGAACATTTTTTAAAGTAATAACTAAGAAAGAAATACAAGACAACCTCCAAAGAAGAAGAACGCAGATGCGTGCTCTATCTTGCTATATGCGTGTGTGTGTATATACACTGATATTTGTACAGTAGCTTCTCTCCTGGGTGAAAACAATGTAAGCGTTTTGTCGACCATAACAATGCACATAATCTGCCTCTTCTCGGTGCTACTAATTGTCTATTATTCTCCTTGTTCTTAAAGAGATAGCTGAATACCCATAGTTTACACCGAACTATGTACGACAGCACAAGTCTGCCTCTTCTCGGTGCTACTAATTGTCTATTCTTCTCCTTGTTCCTAAGGCCAATCTCAATGGAGATGTTATGGGAGTGTCATACACATTAATTAGGGTGACACATCAGCATAGGAACACTTTTTGCATGAAATGGTGAGGAGAGAGAACAAATTCGTTTCATGGCCACGACACTCGCCAGCTCCGTTTCTAAGGTCTCAGTAACTCCACGACACCCGCATTGAGAGGGATAGTTTCATCCACCCGCCCGGCGCGAAGATCCCGTGCTCCAGGCGCCAAGATCCAATCCTCCCGCCTCCTTCCCCCGCGCGCGCGCGTGATTCCTCCCGCCTCCTTCCCCACGCGCGCGATTCCTCCCACCTCCCGCCTCCTTCCCCGCACGCGCCATGGATTCGGCGCGTAGCTCCGGGCGGCGAGTCAAAGGAGGGATTCGGCGCGGAGGCAGCCGCCTTGGAATGAAGACGGCGTTGTCTCCTACGCCGTCGGCCCCTCCGGCTTCTTCTCCGCCGGCCCCTGCTGTGCCACCACCGTCCGCCCCAGCGCCGCCACCGGGTCCGCCAGCACCGTCCGCCCTAGAGCCAGCACCTTCGTCCTTCCCTGGTCCACGGTAAGCCCCAGATCCACGGTGATTTCGATGATTTCGATGTGTAGAGATGTCCGGATCTCTTGTATGGTTCGGTTCTCTTGTGAATTCCATAGGTCCGGATCTTGAAAGCAGTAGGAAATCCTGTCCATACTGTCACACGAATTCTTTTTGATTACCATGCTTAGCAGTTGGATTTGATGTTTCTTTGTAATTACCATGCTTAGCAGTTGGATTTGATCACGGGGTCTAATATTTGGTTGTCTTGTTGGTGTGTAAACATGCTAGATTTGCTTGTCATATCATATTTATGGTTAGATGCAATGGTGTTATGAACATATGAAGCCATTGTTGGATTCAGTTGGTGATTGGTATGGCACTCATATGTGAATCTGTTATATCTGATAATGATAATGATAATTGCAATTTTGCACATTCTAATGCTGATGTTTCAAGCTCAGCTCTCATTGAATTTGTATATTTCCATAACTTTAGTAATGTAGAAAGTGCAGCCTGCATACAAATAGAAATGTATGTATGTGACTTGCCATAGATCCATACTTCCATAGCCCTGCATAGCTTGTGTGTGTCCATCAGCATTGACCTCCAGACTGTCTCTGTATATGTGAAGTCTAGTATCATGGCCTGGTTGATGTGAAAATCGCGTTGTGTCCTTTTCTGTCTGAAACTTTGGATGCTGCTGAACTACATGTGTAGTGTATTTTCTGTCCAATTGGGTTCTCTTCCTTCTGTGATTGGGAAGTGCTGCCTGCATACGTGCTTGACCTTTAACATTGGATAAGCAGTAGCCAGAGATGCCCAGCTGTAATGTGGAAACTATGCTTTCTTATGTAATATAGCAGTTAACTATACTGCATTTGCTGTGCTGACCTTTATAATTTTTTGTTTTGATGAATATGCCTGCAACAACCATACTTCAGGGTCTATCCACCTGGTGGTTTTTTAAATTTCCTTCAACAACCATACTATCCACCGCACCCACACATGGCAGGAGAAAATTTTCATTTTGTTGGTCAGACTATTAACATGAACCCAATATCTCCACCACCACCACCACCAAGTGCCTATGGAGCATTAACACCCCAAGCTGTGAATCAAGGAACTTCAACAAACGAGACGGTGACTATTGACATTGAGGAAGGAGAGAATAGTGAGGCAAATAGGATAGTAAAGAAAAGATATTGGACTCATGACGAAGAAACGAGGCTGGTAACTAATCAGTTTTTTATTTTCCTTGGTTTGTAACGAGGCTGGTAACCCAATATACTTGATTTGCTCATATTTTTTTATTTCGTATTTTGTAGGCCAGTGCTTGATTGAATGTTTCAAAAGACCCAGTTAGGGGTAATGACAAGAAATTCGATACATTTTGGAAGGAAATCACTAAGGAGTTTAACAGGAAAGGGAATGGGAACCGTAGAAGGAAAATAAACCAATTGAAGGTTCACTAGTCACGCCTGAAGTCATCCATCACTGATTTCAATGACGCTTGGACTAAGGTAACTCAAATGCATACAAGCGGATACTCCGACGACATGCTAAAGGAAGAGGCACAGAAGATATATGAAAGCAGGTTTGGAAAGCGTTTTTCGTTGGTGCATTGGTGGAAGATATTAAAAGAGGAGCCCAAATGGTGTGCACAGTTTGAGGGAAAAAAGAAAGACAAGACTGAGATAGTTGATGTTCCAGAAGAACAGTCACGTCCCATTGGTAGAGAAGCAGCAAAGGCTGAGCATAGTGGAAAGCGCAAGAAGGATAATGTTATGGAAGGAATTGTCATCCTTGGGAACAATATTGAGAAAATTATCAAGGTGCAGCAAGATCGAAAGGTGGAGTGCAAAAAGGTTATGGAAGCACAAATTCAGATATCAAACACAAATTTGAAGGCAGCAAAGGAGCAAAAGGAAGCAAGGATGTTTGAGGTCTACAATTCCTTGCTCAATCAAGATACAAGTCACATGTCTGAAGATCAAAAGGCTAACCGAGAGAAGGCATTACGTAAGCTTGAGGAAAAGTTATTTGCTGACTAAGGTTAGTTCTCAGTCATGTTTTCCAGATGTTCCTCTTTTTATAGTGAGATACAGTTCTTGTTATTTCAGCTGGTAGAATTTGTGTCATTGATTTACTTTAGTCATCAAAAACATTCATTTTTGTATTATAGCAGATTGCCCAGCATTGCTCCTTTTCATTCAATTCCCCATTTGCCATGTTTTCCAAATGTTTCTCTTTTATAATGAGATATAGTTCTTGTCATTTCAGCCGATAAATCTGTGTCGTTACTTCAGTCTTCAGTAACACTCATTTTTGTATTATAGCAGATTGCCCCCTTTTGACTTAAATTATGTGTTTTCCTGCTGCAAAAAGCATTAGTTGAAATGATATGTAAGCTCAGGCACTCTATATGTATAGGTAATTTTTAAAATACTGAAAACATGCTATATTTATAACTCCCATTTTGCTGGTTCTGTAAATATGGTTGGTTTGGTCCTAATTTTCACTGTGACTTTGCAGATAGATTGTATATAAAGGCTGCAGCTCAGATCATTATCAAGCATGTCTCTCCTCTCGAAGTTACGCTTGATCACCGTGGATGTGACTGGTACACTGATGGCTTACAAAGGACATCTTGGGGGTTACTAGCTACATAATCAATCGATGCATATGATCCCATCATTTTACAGTAATTAAATGCTTTACTTAGTTTTGGAATTGGTGAAATGAAACACTGCATTGTAAAGTCTAGTTTCATTCATTGTTTCATCCCGCTCAAGCTGATGTGGCGTTTTGGAAATCGTGTAGTGAAACTAAGCATTAAGACTGGCCTAAGAGACAGCTGGATAGACAGCTGGATGCCCATAGTTTACACCGAACTATGTACGACAGCATAAGTCTATCTTTTCTCGGTGCTACTAATTATCTATTCTTCTCTCTGTTCCTGAGACACAACTGGAAAGACAGCTGGATGCGCACAAACAACCTCGGCAAATTCCCGTCTCGTTCGCTAGAATTCGCAAGGATAGTTTCGGAACGAAAGTTGAGACGGCGGGCGGACAAGGACAGTGGGGCCTTGTCTAGTGGATGGACAGAGACAGGACGGTTTGTCCGAATATCTTTCAAAATTTCTCCCTCAGATTTGAAACCTTTGTTAGTGTATGGTGGGCCACCCCTAAACTATCAAATGGGCCAAAATTAGGCCTTAATAGCCCTTTGAGCTTCCATTTTTCTTTGTGTGATGAGTGGGGTTAATTCTTTGTTCTCCCCTCGTTTAAAATCCTCTTCCATTTTTCTTTGTGTGATGATGAGTGGGGTTAATACATGTTAAAAATCCTGTTTAAGTTTCTATTTCTTCAAACGACATGATCCTTTGTGTTGTAATATAAATGTATGCCATAAAAAGTAGACAATTCTCTTCAATCCTAGAGCAGGTTTTTATAGCACCTTTATTTATGAGCTTCGATTCACCCCCATATATATACATACAAACATGTTACAAAACACGTACAGGAGTGATTACACGAGATAGAAAAAGATTTTTCCTCCATTCTACTCGATGAAGTAGCAGCGCAGGAAGGTCGGTATGCGCGTGTGCCCAATCAGACTGATCAGTTCAGTTGGTTGACGCGCTTGAGCTTCTTCTCGGCCAACATGCCCTCGATGGCGGCCTTCCAGACCTTGCAGTGCGTCTGGTGCTCGAACAGCAGCTGCACCGTCACCCCTCCTTTGACGTGATCAGCTTCACCGGGAACACCGGCCGCCCCTCCACCACCGCCTCGCCAACGCCGTCTCCAACCGCCGAGACCACATCTGGAAGTCATCATCGCCACCAAACGGCAAATGGATCAGTCCGTCAATTAACGCCGTGTTCGGCTGGCTGGCTGGGCTGGCTGGCCAGCCCCTTACATAGACACTATTTACATGAACCAGCCAGCAGTACTTCTCTCTCACATAAACGAACCAGCAACGATACGAACCAGCCAACCGAACAGGCTGTAAGCCGGTATCAACACAGTATGTGGCCAAGCAGCTGGGAGCCAAATCACAACAGCGACGCTAGTAAAGGTACAAACAGACCAATCGTGACGAGACTGGACCGGCCCCGGAAGATTGATTGTGCTTGTTCTGGTCGTATTTGGCTTATAAGCCATGACTTATCAGCTAACGAACAATATTTTTCTCTCACATCAAACTAGCCAATAGTACTTTCAGCCATGACTTATAAGCCAAACCAGTCCAAACGAAGGCGTGGGTCGTTAGAGACAAGCGTGTCGGCCGGGGCAACCGGCCAAACGCCAAACTGCTCAGGTGTTACGGTGCAGTGACGTCACGGTACGGGCAAGCGCCTCGTCGTTGTCTTCCCCGGACTGGCTGGCCAGCCGAGCGCGCGGTGACACACAGTGCACGCATGCACGCGCACGGCGACGACGCGGCAGCGGAATAGCGTTGTGAGATGACTGTGCGTGCACGAGCTGTTACTTACAGTCCTTGAAGGTGGCGAACGCGCCGTGCAGGCGCTTCTTCCCCAACCGCAGCACCACCGTTGCGCCGTCGCCGCGCCGCGGGAAGACGGACACCGTCCTCACCCGCACACTTCCTGCATATATAGCACCCAAACAGTAATGAAATTGCAGCGACAAACTACACAAAAAACGATGCACAACTGGTCATAAATCGAAAATGCACGTCTCTCACCACAAGGCAGACAGACTCTGAGAGTCGTGCCCTTCTGGATGCCCGCGCTGACGCTCATGGCCATGGCGTTGCTGCTGGTGGTGGTGGTGCTGATTCCCCTGAGGTCAGCTGCCCTTTGCTTCAGCGCCGCGGCTCCCCTCAAACCTGGCAGAAGCATCAAGACACCAACATGCACGCAATTAGCTCCCCTTCATTCTGAATCTGCCACGTTAAATTTCGTTATTTATTTGGGCCGTGGTTTGCACTTGCTACATGTGGCAGCGGTAGCGGTGAGGGTGAGCAGGTCGGCGGAGGAGCGGCTCTCGAGGCCAGTCCTCACGGCGGACGTGATGCGACCGCGGTTGTCGTCGGCGGTCTCCGTGGCCTCAGCGCACACTGTGGCCACCAGCGCCGTGGCGGATGCGAGCACCGTGCCTAGCCGCCTATCGCTAGTGCTGGCCGAGGCCGTCGGCCTCAGGTCGCACGCCGACACGATGCCCGCGACCGACACGGCAGCGTGCGCCTGCGCCGAGTGCAGCCGGAGCTCGTCCCTCCGCCTTCTCCGCCCGGCTTCGGTGACTGGCAAGCTGTCCAGCAGGAAACCACGCAACATCGCCTTCATATTTCCAACTTTGAGCTGCCAAAAAAAAGGAGCAAGCGAATCAAACAAGGCAGTTACTGTTAGGTAACCTGCTGCCCCTTTGTGTGAACGCGCAGCAGGGGAAGGCGGCGCCAAAAAGGCTCCCTGCTGTAATACTGTAGCCACTGTAGGAGCAAGCGTCGAACGGCTCTCCTGCGGCACTATAGCTACAACAGGGGCAGGTGCCAAAGTCAGCCCTACTGTCACTTCTAGTCACTATAGCAGCATGTTAGTCTGACATGACTGTGTATTAGCATTAGATGAGTAGAGTTGTATATATATTTGCCACTGCAACTCAGTAAAGAGAGAGAGTTCAGTTTGCCATCTCCTCTACAAAGCTCCGCCCAATGCTGGTGCTTTGTGTTGTGTGTGTGCTCTGTTCTCCCTCCCATCTTCTACCTCTAAGCATAGTGTGTGGTAGCCAACGACAGTTCGTGGTCGGCACCGCTAGTGTGTGCTCGGCAACACTAGTGAGTGATCGGATAACTCTGTGCCGGAGATCAAGGGGCTAACAAGTGGTATCAGAGCTGTACATGCGCCGTCGCCGGACAAATAGCTGGCGATGATGAACGGTTTGGAGATGGGCGACAACATCGGTGCTGCTGTGGCTGCCCAGCCATGACAGAAGGTCGTTGTGCGCACGATGCAGGAGGTCAGCGGCACCAGTTGGCCGACGCTGACTCGCACCAACTATGGCGAGTGGTCGGTGACCATGAAGGTTAAGCTCAGAGTCCGACGGCTCTGAAATGCTGTTGACAAGGGTACCGACAACAAAGAAGACGACATGTCAGCGTTGGAGGCTATCCTCGCTGCTGTACCAGTAGAGTACAGGGAGCCGTTGGGGACGAAGGGCTCTGCTAAGGAGGCGTGGGAGGCCATTGCGGCGATGCGCGTCGGTTCCGATCGCGCAAAGAAGGCGACGGCCCAGCTGCTGAAGCAGGAGTACGCCAACCTCAAGTTCAAGGATGGTAAATTGGTGGAGGACTTCTCCCTCCGTTTGCAGACACTCATCAGCAAGCTGAGGAGTCACGGCGTCACCATCGACGAAGAAGAGACGGTCTCCAAGTACCTCCACTCCATGCTGACGAAGTACATCTAGATCGCTCTTTCCATAGAGACGATGCTGGACTTGTCTACCCTCATCATTGAGGATGTGACAGGCCGTCTACGGGCGGTGGACGAACGCATGGAGCAGGCCACAGCAACGAAGGACAACGGGAAGCTCCTGTTGACAGAGGAGGAGTGGGCTGCCCGGAGGAACTCCGAGGAAGCCTCCTCCAGCCGTGGTGGTGATGGAAAGTGTCGCGGCAAGACTTCCTTGGAGAAGAAGAAGTGGGTCAACCCCAACGCCTGCCGACGCTACGGGAAGATGGGCCATTGGGCAAGGGAGTGCCCAAATCGCAAGCAGAAGAAGAAGGCTGAAGCTCATCCGGCGTATGCTGCTGTTGATGATGAGGCCACTATCCTGATGGCGACGTTATGTGAACTACATGACGTTGAGGCCGAGGAGAAGGAAAAGGTGATGGCGGTGGAAGAGCCTGGGAAGGCCCTGAAGGCTGTCAACCTCGACGAACCGCGCGCCCAAGTCCACCTCGAACGTGTGGACGACGGACAGGAGCAGCGGTGGTACATGGACTCTGGCGCCAACAACCACATGATGGACTCCAAGGAAGCCTTCTTCGAGCTCGACGACGACGTGACCAACACAGTGAAGTTCGGTGACGGCTCAAGGATGACGATCCGAGGGCGCGGCACCATCATCTTCAGGTGCCAGCACGGCGAGCACCGAGTGCCAACGGATGTATACTACATCCCGCAGCTGCGTTCAAATATCATCAGCATTGGCCAGCTGGATGAACGCGGTAGCGAGGTACTGACCAAGGATGGCGTTCTTAGGATCAGGGACCAGGAGCAGCACCTTCTTGCAAAGGTGAAGATGTCCCGGAACCGGTTGTACTTGCTCGACTTGAAAGTAGAGCAGCCGGTGTGCCTGGCGGCACGGCACACCGAGGAGCCGGGGCTGTGGCATGCCTGGTTCGGCCATCTCAGCTTCGACGCGCTTGGTCGGCTGGAGAATATGGTCCGAGGGCTGCCCCACATTAAGCACGGAGGCGAGCTGTGTGACAGCTGCTTGGCCGGAAAGCAGAGGAGGTTGTCATTCCCAAAGGCGGCCAAGTATCGCACGACGGACGCTCTCGAGCTCGTCCACGACGATCTCTACGGGACAATCACGCTAGCCACAAACGGTGGTCGGTGGTACTTCCTTCTGCTCGTGGATGATTGCGGTCGCTATATGTGGCTGCAACTCCTGAGGAGCAAGGTTCAAGAACTTCGAAGATTAATTCCTACTTGTGGTATATAACTGATATGTGACGAGCAAGGTTCAAGAACTTCGAAGGTTAATTCCTACCTGTGGTATATAACTGATATGTGCGGTGGGTGGGATCAGTAATCAGTTGCGACCTGGTACCATCGATCAGTTGCAACCCGGAAGACTTGTGAAACCGAGGGGCGGGTGACTCATTTTTCTGAAGACTGAAGCACTGATGTTAATAGGAGTTCATTGCATTGGATGGATCAGCGACAAGTGATCCAGCGATTAGGGCGAAACCACATGCTCCCGCGCCCCAATCGACGTGCATCATGGAGATCAACTTCTCCTAATTATCAAGTTCTTTAATCTCCTAACATGGATTATAGGAAAGAAATGAAGGCGGCGTGAGGAATCAAAGAACAGGAGGAATAGACGTACTGACCTTCCTCCTCCGTTTGGACAGGATCAGATGTTCAGAAGAGGGAGGCCCCTGCCCCTGCCCCCTGGGGAGAACCTCTGCTGCTGGGATCCACGAAGTGACCAAGATGAAAGCAGGCAGCGCGGTTACACATGTAAGATCAATTTCTAATAGTCGTTGCCGTAATCGCGGGTTTCAGGGCACGAAATCGTGTGACCGTTTTCAGACAGATTCGGAAAGAAATGGGGGCCCGGCCCACACGGCCATGACTGACTGACTGGTGTGTTGTCCTCTACAGGCTACAGCTTATATATATACTACCTGGACCATCAAGACCGTGGTCTATTTGCTCAAAAAAAAATCAAGACCGTGGTCTAAAACTACTACACAACAGTGAATCATTCAGAATCAGCTCCTTTTTTTTATTTTTATTATAGGACAACAGACGTGTGCTTGTAACGCTAGCTCATACGGGTTATGCACAAGAACGGGAATGGGTATCGACAGTTCGACACCGATCCTGTTCGGCGCTCGCGTTCCACGGAGTCACGGACACGGAGCAGACCGCAGACCGTGAGCGTCCAAGGTTTTGGTTGACGGTGTGGCTGCGGCAACGGATTCAGCATGAATACGGGATATGCTTTCGAAGTACGTCTTAATAATATCCGATGTTACTGTACTACCACTGGTATCCGATGAACAGGATTAGCAGGTTTATGGGATTACGAGCACTTGCACGCGCACTGCAGTACATAGCGAGTACATCGCCGTAACAACAAGCAGTTGATCATTCAGTTGCCGACGTAAACAAGGGAAGGTCGTAGAGCCTGTTCTTCAGTCTAAGATAAGCGTTCGAGGACACACTCAAAGGCCTTGTTGGCTTCGCTGAAATTTGGCTGATGCTGCTGCTTTTGCTGATTTGTTGTGAGAGAAAAACAACGTTCCTTTGCTAAAATTACTGCTGAAGAACAGGGTAAAATTCAATCCCCGCGTCATCATTTGAAAGATATAATTTTTAAACTACTTTTTAGGAATATGTATGAAAATATTGACCATAGGTTCTTTGAAAAAGGTGGGTAGAGTTTCTTTTCGCAGGTATAAGCCTGTGTGTTGGCTGCAAATGATATACCTGAGATGGAACTGGCTAAATAAATAGCTTTCTAACGATAAACCGATGCAGGTGCTATTTGGTTTTAGAGTGCGGGAGGATCCAGCCCAGCTCGCTATACCCACGAGCTGATGCCCCTCGGGTTCAGGTCCATCGAAGCCCATAACAAAACAAGGCCTATATCTTAACTCAACCCAAAAGACTAGCCTGGTTACCCCACCTTATATGTTATGCTCTCTCAACATTAGTTATCAATACATAACTAATAAATCTAACATTTGGAAATGTCGAAATAGAGTGTTTCGACAAGAAACTTTAGACAACCTTGTGACATTACTATAGAAGCTTGATCTTTTTTTAAATTCCGAGTAGGGTTATTCAAGCTAAGGATCAAGGAGAAGGTTTGTGATGGCGCCAACAAGGGTAGTGGTCAACTGGAGGAACTCTGGGTGATGCAGGCTTCTCTCTTTCGAATCGATGGAAGTTCTAATTACTCTACTAGAGTATTAGCCTATTTATACCGCTAAACTCTGAGGTTCGCAAGGTATATTCCAGCGTTGCTTGTTGGTAATAGGCAGGTTGTTTGAGTTTGAGACATGCACCCTTCTGTTTGGCTATGCTGAAAGCATCGAGTCCCTAATTCGGTTTTGGTGATTAATGATCACAAATAATTATGACTAACGTGTATTTATAGGGACATTACTTTAAATTGGTCATAACGTCCGCCATATGGTTTTCTTGGCCCTGGTTATGGATTCAAAGTATTTGGTTGCAATGATATTTGTGAAGGCTAGGATTCTATAGTTCTAAGTGGCAATAGGTTTGGTGTTGGGATGCACTTGGAAGTAGAATAGGGTTTTTGTTTTCCTTTGGACATACTATAAAAGGGGGCTACTATGAGTAGTTTGACCTAGGCCTCGACTAAGAGTTCTAGAGTGATACACACTTGTAAAAGCTTGGACTACGTAGCTCAAGAGTGACCTTGGAAAGGTGAGAAATTATTTGGGAACTCAAAGAAATAGAATTGGGCGAGTTCAAAGTTCTCCAAATGGATTCAAAGTTCTGACAGTGCATCAACAAAGATATTGTGTTATGGTTATGTTGATCACTATATGATTAGGTATGGTAGCTTTATGCTGGCTGGTTATCTGGTGACACCATGTGAAATCATGTTCAAGAATTGCACAACTCTGAGGATGATTTAGTGTTGAGCTTGGTGCCTTAGCATGTCGTCATGTGTTATTATGTCAATGAACAATGTTGATGTTTTTGTCACTGTCAACAATTGGGGCATCGTGTGGCAGGAGAAACTAGATGGTAGCATGCACATGAGACACAAAGTGTATACAAGTTTGGGATCTCATGAGGTAATACCCTACGTCTTGTATTTTTGTTTATATTGCTTGCGTATCATATGTGAGACGATGATGAGATGCCGATCAGGGGACCTCCCTACATACCCGCCTTATATAGCCAAGGGTTATGATTGCAACATCGATGTTGCCCTTGATCAAGTTTACAAATATGTTTTCTAACTGATTACAACTGAATCTTGTGTTGTTACGAGCCTATCTTGTGTAGCAAGTAGATGATGACCCCCTCCCCCGACTTCAGACTCCGAGTAGTTGGCCTGGTCCACCCTATGTCCAGAGGGCGGATATGTCATCCATGATGGCACATGTGGGTCATGTCATCCACAAAGATGAGATTGGCATGACTCTGTCGTTCATAGGATGATCTAGCGTTGACTCTATATCATGCAGTGCATCGTCCAATGATGCTATGTGGTATTGTTATTTTTGGGAGTTGTCATGTGTCAATGCTCACCGTATGATATGAGGGACTTGGGCACTCACTAGATCATCCGATGATATCTGCTGTAGAACAACCAACGATACATATCTTAGAGATTTAGGAAGTGTTCGAGAACATTAGGAAGTGATCATTTGAAGACTAAAGAATTGCTAGTGTTGTGAGTAGCAAGCATGCATCTCTTGGTGCTCTTGGCTAAGATTTTGGTCAAGTTAAGATCAATACTTTGTTGCTCTTGGTGTTTGTCAACACGTATACAACTTTTGTGTTGGTGAAATTGGTGAACTTCCATTGAGGTAGTTAGGAGGTCCAAGTGCTTTGTAGTTGGTTTGAGACCCATCAATTCAGAGTGGAGAACATGTATTCTTAGTTGATACCCTTAGCGAGTGCTCCAACGTAGACTAGGGGGTATGGCAACACCTTGAGACCACGAAGAGAAAAATTTGTAGTCATGTATTCTCCTTACTTGTTCTTGTGTGCTTAAAATGTTTAGTGACAACCTAGGATTGATGTTGTGCTAGGGTGATCTCTAGTGTGATCTTTGGTAGCGACATGGCTTAGTGTGAGTGCGATGGTCCTGAAAACTTCAATAGTGGGTTTGTTTAGTTCATATGGTTAGCTATGGAAGTTGCGGTGAAGCAGCAGTTAAGATTTGTTGCTTTAAAATTTTAAGACCAATTCACCTTCTTTTGGTCTATTCGATCTGTTTATGTGCTTAGTGGCTAGCCTACATATTTGAGAGGAAAAAAGAACTCATTATGTGTAAAATCATATTGCATAATAGGAATACAGCCCTGCACGAGTACATACGCAGAATTTTAAAATTCGACAGCAAATAGAGAAACTAACGTGTTTGGTTCGTGCTTTTTGCCCCGTTATCGGATTACAGCGGAACTGGATCACGTTACTTCCCGTTTGGTTTGGCTGCCATGTAATCCGTTGGCGCGGTATCGGATACAAGCCTTCGGAAGCATGATACCGTCCGTCTCTTGGCGTTAACGGTTACGTCCCGTGCATCTCTGTCCGCAAAAGCTAACCAAACAAAACTAAGTTCTCTATTCAATCGTAACCGATAGTGGTGTCATCCATTTGCATTAATATCACCGCTCCTCCAAATGAACCAAACAGCACCAAATGCCATAGGCACCTGTTATTCTGGATGTGCTAAGATGACGACTTTTTGTTCAGTCTAACACGCAGGGTTCCTGGACAGACTGAAAATTTATGAGTTAAATGCACCAGCGGCCCTCAAACTTATAGACATGTGTCACATAGGTCTATGAACTTAGAAAATACATTTTTAGGTCACTAAACTTGTTAAGTGGTGCACCGCAGCCCATACCAGCCACGTGGACTTTTTTACTAACATGACATGCTAGTATGACATATAATTTTTATTTAACCCCTCACGTTTATTTTTCTCATAAAAAATAGACCCAGCAGTCGGCTCGGCGAAGGCGAGGCTCCGTGGTCTGCGTCGGCTCGGCGAACGCGCCCACGGAAGGGTGGCGTAGCACGGGCACCTGCGGCGCCCAGGGCACCACGAGCCCGGACCCGGTGCTGGTGGCGCGGTCCAGGAAGCCCGGCGGGAGCAGCGGCCACGAGTCCTCGCGCAGCGACCACAGGAACGGCGCGCCCGAGGCCTCCAGCCCGGCCGCCAGCTCGCGGAGCTCGTCGGTCCAGCCAGGCTCGCCGGGCTCTGCGCCATGGAGTTGGCCGCGTTCGTCATCGTCTCGCGCGTCGCAGGACCAGCAGCAGCAGGTCGCAGCCGCAGCCGCAGCCGCCGTCGTCCCTGAGGCCGCGCGAACTGCGACCCCGGCGGCCGCGCCCCTGGCTGGCGATGCTTCGGCGAGCCGCGCCTCCGGCGGCCACGCCCATGCCTAGCCGCGCTCCGGCGAGCTGCGCTCCCGGTGACCGCGCCCCCGGCGCCGCGCCCTGGCGAACTGCGACCCCGGCGGCTGTTTTGCATGGGTCCGTGGCGTTCGGTGCCGGGAGGAGGGGGTGCCCCGGCGCCGGGTTCGCCGCGCCGACCGTCGAGCTCGCGCTCACCAACTTGCTGTATCACTTCGACTGGGCCGCGCCGACGGCGCACCGCAGCGGCGTGGGGACGCCGCCCGTGGACGTGAGCGAGGTGTACGGTCTCTCTGTCCGGCTCAAGACGCCGTTGATCCTCGTCGCCAAACCATGGCTTGGATAAACTTGACGAAATGGACCGGACTTCGTGCAAGAGGAATCAAAACTGAATTCCATTTGCATTAGCAGATGCAGATCGACTTTGCGAACAGAGGCACAGCAGAGCACACGTTCTCTTCTCTCGGACAAACAGAACGAACCACACCACGGATACTGCAGAGTACTACAAGTACAGCCTACCCAAGCCTGTTTGTTCATAACGGCGATCAATTCTGGCATGAGACGATGGTTCCTTAGAATTCAAGAACACTACTAATCTACCCAGAACGAGGTGTACCCTGACAGAAAGCTGCAGGCAAGAACACTACTAATCACCAGGGGAAACAAATGGAAGCCGCCGGCGAGAGGAGATGGATTATATTCAGATGGCCATCATCTCATTTCTCATCACCACGACGACGACGACTGTCCCTCGTCCGTCTCGCTCGTCAGCTCCATCCCCTCTAGCCAAGACTGAACGTACTGGATCACCGAGCGATCGTTCCTCTCCCTCTCCATCTTCCCGACGGCGTCAAGCTCTGCATGCAAAACAGCCGCCGGGGTCGCAGTTCGCCAGGGCGCGGCGCCGGGTGCTCGTGAAGCAGGGTGGGCGCTGGGTCTATTTTTTACGAGAAAAATAGAAATGAGGGGTTAAATGAAAATTATATGTCATACTAGCATGTCATGTCAGAAAAAAAATGTCCACGTGGCTGGTATGGGCCTGCGGTGCACCACTTAACAAGTTTAGTGACCCAGAAATACATTTTCCAAATTCATGTACCTATGTGATACACGCCTACAAGTTCGAGGGCCGCTGTGCATTTATCTCAAAATTTATCCTGCCGCAATGACATACGTACATCCCTTTTCCAGATTCTGATCTGAAGGAAATAGATTTTCCAGATTCCTCGAGAAACAATTTCATGCTCCAAATAGGGCATTATTACTGTTGGGCACATGAAAACCCCTTTAAATTAAGTTGCGTAATGAAAGCCTTTAAATAAATATACATTAGGGAAAAAATGGTCGCAACATATGCTGAAGACACTTGGGATCAAGAACCACTGCAGTAGGCACCAGGTTTTGCACAGATCCATACTCACCTCCAGGTTCCAGCCGAGGAACCGGAGTTAGTTATTCCATAATGCAGTTACAGCTATTCCACTCCGCGAAAGAATCGCTGATCGCTAGTCCAGCATGACATTTCTTAGTGTCCGCAATGGCCGACCCATCAGCCTTGCGCATTCGCCTCTGCGGGTTCGACCTGTTGAAGCACGGACAGCAGCTCTGGGTTCTGAAAATCTTTGGCTAGCAAGCTGGCTCCTGCGTCTTTCAGCACCTTCCCAGGTTCCTGGTCGTCAGGCCAACCACAGGCACTCCAGCAGCCACACCAGCTCGGACCCCCGATGCAGAGTCCTGCGCAGAACGAGATGCACATGCACGAACACAGCATCACCGTTGGTTACTGACTGTTTCGACTAGTGATGATGAAAAACCAACGCTTCAGAGAATTACGGTGAGACAGCATTCATCCATACTTCAAATATGAAGGTGTGTTCAGGCGATGGGTCGATGAGCTGGAGGGCCTTGAGGTACGGGTCAGGGAACGGCTTGGCCCGGTCGCACTCGCTCCCGATGACGAGCACCGGGAAGAAGTCGGTGAGCCCCAGCAGCGACAGCATCAGCTTGGCGTTCGCCCTCGGAGCGTTCGTCACCGCCGCGCGCTTCAGGTTGCGGCCTTCGATCCATCCGCACAGCTCGTGTAGTCCATCCAGGGCCTTCAGCTGTCCTGGTGCCAACCTGTGTGTGTAAGCTTTCAGCTTCAGGTTAGTGTTCAGCAAGCATCGAGTGGCACAGGATGGCAGTTTATGTTTGCATTGACACGATCATGTTCGGTACTTGTGCAGTAGTAGTGAAGAAAAACATCAGCATTGATGCCTTTTATATATAGTACAAAAAAAATGACAAGTTTGGGATTGTCAAACTGTAGTATCTTGCAGTACTTCCTACTATGGGTTCAGACTTACAAACCCAGATTTCCTCTGGGACAATTACACCTGAAATTGAACCAGCAGGTAAAATTCTAAACGCAACTGAACCTGCAAATGATTGGATACTACATCGGTTGCTTTGCTCAACCGCCGGACTTCTAATTCTATACGCAATTCTCCATGATATGGCCAAATTGAAATCAAGTGTTGATATGGGTCTATTCGCTTGAACTTATCAGCCGGCTTATCAGCTAGAATCTACAGTATTTTTCTCTCACAACAAATCAGCTTCAGCCGACTTATCAGCCGGCTTGAATACGATGAGTGGCCTACTTTCTGAACAAAGCTTCTTTTTCATCCATGAACTGCATCGCCTTCTGGTGATCCATGTCCGGGAACAGCGCCCTAGCGAGGTCGTCGTTGTGTCCCCCACTAATGGTGGCACTGTAGAACTCCTCGGTGATGGGAACACCGTCGTTGAAGCCTACCTGTTGAAGCACGGATAGCATAGCAGTTGAGAAGTGACAGGCAGAAGCACAGAGCCGTTGCAGAGAAAGAATTCACTCCTACACACCTGCTGCAGGAGATCTCGGAAAGCGCAGAAGTGGATGGGATCGGAGTCGCAGAGCGTGCCGTCGATGTCGAACAGGATGGCTTCCAGCGGCGCCAGCTTCGTCAGGGCGCTGCCGCTTCAGAGTTCACAAGACACAGCGAAATAGGTGAGCAGTGTGCGGTGTTTCAGTGGCGAACAAGAGAGGTCGCCAGGAGATGAGAGGCCGGAGACGAACAGAGACGGGTCTCAGTCGCGTACCTGTTGGTCGCCATGTCCGCCGGAGTAGCCGCGCTCAGCGTCCAAGAAATGCAGCTGCGCTTCTTCCTCGCCCCTCTTGTGCTGAAACCACAGCTGTTGCTGATACTGATGCTGATGCTTCGTGGAGAGGTCGCTGGAGATGATGATATAACAGTAGAGAGGAGGCGGCGAGGGAGGGAGGCCGACAGCATGCCAGGCCCGAATTGGATTCGTCCGCCCAGCGGCATGAGCAAGAGACTGACGAGTCGCTTTCTCCCGCTCTCCTTTCTGTTCAATTCAACGATGGGTGCCTCTGTTGTCAAAAAAAAAAAAAAGAAAAAAAAAAGAAAGAAGAAGATGGGTGCCTGTGGCTCGCCGCTCGCCACGACCGCTCCTCTGCTCCCGGCCTCTGGCTAAGTGGTAGCCGGATGATCGCTCACTCTACTTCTGTGCTGCCTGCCACCGTACTGAATTGGGAACCTCATTCCAAAGATGACGCCAGGGTATATGCTCTGTTCACAGTCAAATGATCATGCTTCCAAGCAATTGCGTGCCTAGGGAGTCACGTTTTCTGTGGACTCAACTTTTCCACCATCAGATTCTTTTCTAGAGAGGCCACTTGACCCAAGACCACAAATAAACGTTTTGTCATCACAGAGTCCTTAAGGTTAAATTAAACATGATGAATCCACGGCTTTATACCAACTAGTTGACTAATTAGACAACGGTCGCCTTAGCTAATTTTTAGTTCCTAACGCAAGGTAACAAATAGCAGATAGCGGGTTTATAGCAGATCAATGTCTATGTAGAGGATCACGGATAGCTGGCGCTATCGTGGGCCCTAAGTTACAATAGCGACATCTAATAATCACACATAAATATATGTATCTATATCATGAGTATTGACTTTCTCACATCGGTTGTAGCAACTAGAAAACAAAATATTGATAGAAGAATAAATGTTTAAGTTAAACTAGATATTTAGTTGCACTTGAATAGTTGATGTCTCGTCCAACATAACTTAAATTATTAAGAAACAAACATGTTCTTCGTTTATTTATTGGCTCATCGTTAATTAATTCCGCAACCAATGGTACTCGTTATGGAACCGAGATACAAAAGTGGGCAACAATAGACTTAGGATGAGATTCAGAATCAGCTAGGATTTTAATAGCTATAGCGGCCTGCTACGCTAAATAGCGACTGCTAAGAGCATCTCAAAGAGTATTCTATTTTTCCTAAAAAAACATGTAGTTTTGCAATTCCTAAAAGGGTATTCAAAGGAAAAAAGAAGTCACATCTCCAAGAGTTTCTAATAATTCACTCCTAAAATATAAAAGACAATTTTACATCAGGAATTCTATACTATTTATAAATTATCGTACCACTTTTTATATATTCTTTCTCTCTCGTACATTTACATCAGTAACCTTTTCCTACTCCTTATTCTTTCCCACACTCTTCTACCTTTAGATACGCACGTGAAAGTAGTATCCGCGCGACCGCGACTATGCGCAAAGTTACGCGCGACGGGAGAGGATTTTCCAAGTGCGTAAATTTTAGAAGCATAGATTAGGAGTCGTTGGAGAGGGGTTTCTTCTCATCTTGCTAAAAACCAAGGATTAAGAAGGGAAATATGATACTCTTGGAGATGCTGACTAAGTTCTAAGTTGGTATTTTTGGACCGCTACATGATAGCGGTAGCGATAAGGCACTGCTGCCACTATTGTGGCCGCTATAGCAACCGCTACAAATGTTTCGGTCCATTGCCCTAACGATCAAACAGACAGACTAAACGATGGTAACCAATTCAGGTACTAGTGATTAGTCCATTAATCCATAAAGAGTTAATATGGACTAGTTGTTGGTCCATGGAGATCATTTTTTTCATGCAAGATTTTATACCTTTATTTTGGAATGTCAGGGAGAAGGAAAAAGAAGAACAGGAGACGGCTCAATTCGGCAGTTTCGGTAGATTGGCGAGAAAATTTGGGACGCTCCAGGCGCCCAAAAAACGAAGCCCAGATTGGTTCGGCTAGGCTCAACCCAAACAACTGGAGTAGATGGTACGACAAGAAAAGGCCCAACCAGTGCCCCACACAGCCCACGAAGCGAGCAACCCCATCCGCAAGAAAATCTCGCGATTTCCCCTCGCAGTCTCTCGCACGCGCCGGCATGGCGACGCTCGCGCGGTGGAATCCACCACTACCACCAGCCCCACTGGCCGCTGGGGCAGCCGCTCCTGCTGCCCGCCCCCTCGCTCGACGGCGGATCACGCGCCGAGCCGCGACCGTGGTCTCCCCGCGCGCGTTCGGCGGCGCGAACTTCGATGGCTTCGTGCGGCGCGCGTGGCGTAGCGCCAACGCGGGGGCCGAGCTCCTCGCCTTCGAGGCCCGGCAGGCCGCGCAGCGGCTGGACGGAAGGTTCTCGATCTCCCGGAGGCTCGCGGACGCCTCCCGTGCTGCCCGCGCCCGCGCCGTTGAGATCGACGCCGAGCTCGGCATCGGGCGTCGGTGGCGCTCCTTCTCCGTCGACTTCTCCCGCAACTGGCCCAGGGTTCGGATTCTATACGCTTCCTCGCCATTTCAAGATGTTTAGTACTTGCTCTCGCTCCAATCTATGCTTAATTTGATTTCTCATGTACAGTATCGGAGGGAGATCAATGACTTCATGGAAACTCCCATCGGGAGAGCATTAGCTGTAAGTTGATCGATAGCTCAAATTCGCTCGGACTAGCTTGCTAACGTAGCTCAAATTGGGTGCTTATAATTGATTCTAGGACGTGGATATCATAGCTTGGATTTTGTGGCATTTTGGCGATGTGCTACTACTAACTAACTAGTTCATTTCATGTTTCCCATCTGCGGATGCATACTCCTATTGCTTTGTGCCGTGGTCTCATCATGCAGTCTAATGAATAACTGTTACCACGGTTTATTTGCAAGCAATGACAAGTGGACAACGAAATTACACCCTAGTATTTATCATCTGACTGAGGGTTACTGCTGTCCATCTCTGGGAGCCCTAAATTTCTCTGTATATTTAGATGCCTAGGTAAATTGCAATGTGATCATAAGACCTCGAGGATTCCATGAGTTTGATTGTGACACAAGGGAATAGGTACTGATGGGCTATGTTGAATACTTTTGTGCTTTGTAAGGGAAAAACATCATAAAAGAGTGGTATTCTTGATAAAAGAAAAGTTGTAAAACATTTTCCTTAACACTGATGTTAGCCCTTCCGAGCTCACATGTTCCTCCAGCTTATAGTCGAATATTTCTTTAACTAAAAAATACTTATACTACAATTAGAATATCAAGTTCAGCTTTGTTTTGAGAACAAAATATTGTGTTTGGTCGATAAACATTTGACGATTCTTCTGCAAATAGTAGGAGATCCTTTTCAATATCTGATGTTTTTTAGCTATCTCTTTTATGCAGACAATATTTTTCCTATGGCTTGCACTGTCAGGGTGGTTGTTCAGAATTTTCATTTTTGGCACGTTTGTGCTGCCATTTGCTGCCCCTCTTCTTCTTGGGACCTTTGCTAACAGGGTTGCCATTGAGGTAAGAGCGCATCTAAATTTAATCTGTTATTGTGCACTTCTTTACTCACTTCAAAGGAGTCATCAGTTCAAATTGCAGAAGGTTGTGTGCGTGATCATGCTTTACATACTTACTGAAGAAGTGTTAGTGAAATTGTCCAATCATTGCATTTTTGGTTTGCATGCTTTAAACTTTCGTTAGCCAATTGTGTCTCTGATAACTAATGGGCAAGAGTTGTCATACCTCCAAACATCTCTGCTTGATAATGTTGATAGGGATCCCCGCTTCCATGGCATGTAAAGAGAGCTGTTCAAGTTGAATCCAATTTGGCATGTAAAGAGAGCTGTTCAAGTTGAATCCAATTTGGCTACTTTTATTAGCCATCGGATGTCCATATAGTTTGATAATGTTGATAGTCACAGCACACGCTTAGTTTGGGTGTGTTTTGTAGTCTTCTCGATAGTTGAAGTAATCATCTCTACGCCAGCATCTATTATCACACTCACGCAATTGCAACATGGCTACTCTTCAGTCTTCAATCTTCAATCTTCAATCTTCATATCCTTTTGTGGTGGTCAACTAGAAGCCAAGTATGCTTTGAACATACAAGTTGTTCCTAGTTACTGATGGAGCAGTATTCATTTGCAGGGAACATGCCCAGCATGCAAAAGGCGTTTTGTGGGTTACCGCAACCAAGTGATTCGGTGCATGAACTGCCAAAACATTGTATGGCAGCCAAATAACAGCTCATCTGGTGGCACTAGAAGTTCACGAAGCTCAGAACCTGATGTAATTGATGTAGAATACGAAGAGAAGTAAGAACATTGTGCCCCACCCTACACCGAAAAGCGAAAATCAGGTGGGCGGAGGAAGAGGCAAGGCTTAGACACAGGCTGCACCTTCATGAGCTGTTTGTAGATTTGGTTGTTTCAATACTTGTGTACATTACGTGCTCCTTTTGAAATAAAACGGAAATTTAGGTGTTGTGCACAATGAGACGATGTGTGACACCTTTTGATTTTATGCCCTGGCGCATCCATAGCTTATTGTACTGTTGCATCTGAGTACTAGTAAACATCTTGCAAAGCAAGAGTGGTTTTGGTTTGAGCTCGTACCAGTCATCGACGGCTGCAAAACATAAGTTGGTTGATCTGATCGATGCCAATATGAGCAGTAGGATCGATTGGCTTCTCTTCTGTTGGGTGCTCCCGCGCATGTTCATCTGAATTACAAGAAAGGATGGTTTCTGAATATGTACCGACTGGTACATCTGAATGGCATCGTCAGAGGCGAGGTGCTGAAGCCTGGAGCACTGAATGCCTTGCTGGACACACTGTGGATTTGTGGAAGGAAAGCCGGCGCCGCCAGCGCCCAGCTCCTGTGTCCATGTCTCTCGCTGTTGCCTCTAGCTAGCCAAACCAAATTTTGGCCTGTCCCATAGAGAGTGGTGCATCAACTATTTCTATTTTCACAAAACAAAAAAAGAAAAAGAAAATAATCCACCACCTCATCCCTCGCATGGAATTGGAAAGAGCCTACTTACATTCCGGGTCACCTGATTCTGATAAAATACCCACCAAAATCCAACTTTGCAATAAACCGCAATGTATAATCCACACGTAATCAATCATCAGGGAATATGAAAGTGGTAGATGGATGGTCAATGCAGTGTCTAAATTTTGCAGAACAAGACAGATTAGTAATCCAGCAGCAAAATTTGATATCTGAATACATGATCGGACAATTCAAGCAGAAGTGTACAAAGCAGTAAAATGATCAGCAAATTGTGCACTTGATCACTAGAGCCTATTATGCAATGCGACCCCAATGACCTTTAACACAAAAAAAAAGAACTCAACTCAACCAGATTCTATCACAAGCCTTTTCACTCCTGATCTAGGTCGAATGCAAGAACTTCTTGACGGACATCGACGACTTCCTCCACCTCAACTTCCTTGGCCTCGTACTCTTCCTCCTCGTCACTGGCCTCCCCATCCCTGAGCTCCATCCTGTAAGCGCGCTCCTCCTCATGCATCTGCTTCCACTTGGCAACCCATGAGTCCCATTCTTCCTGAAGCTGTGTCCGCCTCTTCCTGTCCTGCTCGCTCAACTGGTTGAACGCGTCCTGGTCCTCTTGTTCATACTTCTTGCTGTACTTCTTCAGGTTCCTTGAGATCTCTTCTTCCTTCTCGGGGGTCAGTAGTGAGGGTGGTCTCGGGCGCCATATGAACTGTACCGTCCATGCAAAAGATACATTGCCACATAAGAAAATTGTATATCATTGAACTGCATAAAAAAGGAGAGTGATTGAACATTTACCTGATAGAAATGATCCTTTGACACCTTGTAAAGATGCTTGCCATTAAAGGACCATATTTGAAAGCCATTCTCCATTTCATGAACTGAGGTAACTGCAGTCGCGAGATATCTGAACAAAAGGAGTTGCAAAATTATTCCAGTACATTTAACTTATTAGGGCTATGGGTACCAAAGACACAGTATCACTACCGACTGTGTGGCCAAAATTTAGAAATATACAACTTTATGCATACAAAGGTGCATGGAATTTAACATGAGGGTGATCTGCAAGTGTCAACTTGATTAGGTATTTTTAGCTATATTATGTAATACCAACGTCAGTAAGTGGAATCAGGAAATTTCTAAAACCAGTGACTAGCTCACCTCCCAGTTGGATCCCACATGATATCCGTTGCCATAAAATGCTCTCCTGTTGCCATTGTCTCTAGTTCATCAACATTGTAGAATTCCAGCTGTCCGTTGAAACCCTTCAGTCCAGCAAGAACAATGAAGCGCCCAGCAGGAGACCAGTACAAAGCATTAGCTTGCTTGGCCTTGAGGGTTGTGAGCTTGGACACACGGTTAGTGTTATTGGCTGTTCGCATGGTGTAGAAGCTAACATCAGGCCTAGGGCCATCACCATGAATGATAGCAAAGCGATGTCCTTTAGGTTCCCATGCAAATGCAATGATCTTGTCATTCTTGTTCTCGAGTTCAAGGACCTCAATTGGGATATCCCTCTCCTTAATTCTAAATAGCTCAAACCCAGTGTAGGTGCTCTTTTTTGTTTTTGTGTACCTATCAACTTGAACAGCAAGATATTCTCCACTGTTCTGCCAATACATTTTGCAATCACTGACACTGAAAAGGTTTTTCTGTCGCAGCTCCTCTTTGCCAGGGATTTGCACTAGACTCACCTTTCAATAGAAAGATCAATTTTAGCCTTCATCATTAAGTATTGAATAAACATGTTATAAGAGGTATCTGTTCCACAAATTTATGCTCACCCTCGCAGGCTGATTTCCACCACCCATTTCAGGCACGAACAGAGATATGATAGGATCAGTGGGAGACCAGCTGAAGTCCACTACATTTTCTACCTTCAAAGACTTTTTATCAAGAAGGGAGAATGTATTGGTTTCATAGACAGATATTATATTCTTCCCAAGCCTCGCAAAATATTTGTCGTCCTTTCCACCACCCCACCTTTGAAAATGTAAAAATATAGTAAGCATCCAACTGGGACAAACTTATGAAAACATTTATGCAGCAATTAACAAACAAAACACTTGTGCTTTCACCTGAAAATAGGCCATGAAACACCAGAAACCCCCATATTCCCGCCAGTAGTATAATCATCGGCACTTCCCTTAAAGTCTCGCATCACCTTCCCAGTCCTTACATCAAAGATATTCAGGACAACCCTCTACAAAATTAATAGTGGTTTGTCAGAAAGGAAAAGCTATTTCTTATAAGAAAGAAGAAAGAAAAGCTATGAGCAGAGTATAAATGTGACAATATCTTACATGTGTGTCTCTAGGGTTGCTGGGCTCATGGCTGCTGTATGTGACCAAATATCTCTCACCAGGAGAGAAGTCAATCAGTTTCACCTGTTACAACCCACTGTCAGCTAGAACATTAAACATTCAAACATTGGATACAATTCAGCATGGTGAAAACCAGTACCATGGGATGAGCAAAACGCATCAGACGCTCAAAGCCATTTTCACCACCCCACACCTGCGATCCCTGCCTATGAACCGTTGCCAAGTACGTTCCCAGAGAGGACCACTGAATGAAACTATCTGTCCAGTACTGGAAAGAAAACAGAGTAAAACAGAAGGATAACTACCTATATGGATTTTATTCTACTAACTGAAATAGCAGGCTGAACTTAACCTTTAATCAATTGTAGCAACAAGTGCAAGAAAATGAAGTACCTGCTTTTGAAACACAAGCTCAGGTGCTAGCTTTCTTGCATCATTCCAATAAACTTCAGTTAGTGTGCCAGCACGAATGACAAATTGGTCTCGGGCCTTTTCATCAGTTAGCCACTTCAGAAGATTTTCCTGAGATGCAGTATCAAGATATTAAGCAGTGTTGCACGACAAACTTAGCTGCTTCAAAAAAATTGAGCACTAAACAGAAGTAGCCATCCAGGGAGTAGAAGGAAAAAACTTACTCCAGCAGTGTATGGCTTAATTTCAGCAGGGGTCCATGTGTCAGGAACTTTCATGTACTTCTCGAAATCATCAAGCAAATTAACTGCGAAGATGTGAGACTTGTCGAGTTTGTACCCATTGGTTTTTTCCCTAGCCAGCTCAGCTTCCTGCTAAAAAACAAAGTTACATATAAACTAACTGGCAATAAGTAAAGGAGACCTATTTCTGCGTCAACCATCAAACAGGATGCATAATTTAATGGAATTCAAAATGATTGAAGGAGGCAAAAGCAAACACGGTGGACTACAAATAATGAAGTTCAAATTATCAAAACATTTTCATAGATCTGTGTTTGTACCGCGTTCCAAAAGCATATGATTGCATGTTTGGATAGAACGTCCAACACTAAGGCATCACTCAAACTACAAGAATGGTGGCAACGGCCGGCCAGTGATGAATTGAAAAGATAACATAATCAAGCCATCGGTCATTGCTTCATTGTGCAGGTAAGAACTAAGGAAAACGCAGCCAGCAAGTAAACTACCTGAGGGGTATTATACTCAATGAAACAGTAGCCATATGTCTTCTTTGTCTCTGGGTTTACAGGCATCCATAGACCATTTTCTTTTATTACACCAATTTGGCTGTAGATCTTGCGTATGACATTCTCAAGCTTCTCAAACTTTTCTGGAGGAACAACTGGCAGATTGTCCACTACAATAATGTTGGATAAACCCATTTCAAGTTCTGGAGGATCCTCACTACGGAGTACCTCCTCGTCATCACTGCAAATTGTAAGAATATTATAAGCAAATAGCAATAAGCAACACTGAAAATAAATCAAGGATACTGTAACCCAGAAAGTCATATGAAAGTCATTCATACTAAATGCATCTCTCAGAGCACTAAAGATTTACATTCTCATCGTGGTGGCAAGCAAAGGTACTGTCTATGCAAGATTGGTATTACTGCACCTGATTAACCTTCTCGTAGCTAGCCTACAATTTCGTTAACTACGCTTAGTGCACAAAATGAGTAGCCATAACAATATACTAGCAGCATATTAAAGGAGACAATCAACAATTCGGCACAAACCTGCATAAATGCTTGCTGCTGCAAACAGCAAATCAACACTACACGGTTTTATAGGATATTAGATTCTTTTAGGATTTGCCAGACTAACAAGTGTATAAATAGGCGTCAGATGGACGCTCAAACACAAAAATCTAAAAACGTCTTTCGCAACCACAAAACTATGTACCAGTCCAACCGGAACAGAGGACTGTCAATCCCGACGGAAGCCAAAAAAAAAATCGCTCAAATCTGCTCTGCAGATCAGCTGCTGCCGGGACCTACAACAGAACACACTAATATTGCACGAAACCTACAAAATCCCACCGTACACGCTCGCATCTGGGAAAAGCAGAATTAGGGCAACCAAGGCCACCACATACTAAGCGCGCTAAGATGGTGCCTGTCACTGATTGGGACCCGACGTGAGGCGGGGCGCGCGTCTACCTGAGGATGCCGAAGTCCTCGCCGGCCGGGAGGGCAATGGAGTCCAGATCGACAGCGGAGAGGTCCACCCCGAGCTCCCGCGCCCGCGCCTCGATGCCCTCCATGGAGATTGCCAGCGCCATCTTCTCTTACATAGGACGCCGGGAACCGTCTGCGAGAACGAGGGATTAGGCAGGGATTCCTGCGCGCTGTGGTGGTTGTGGCGGAGGCGTGCGGCGGCGCGTGTAGAGGCGTGCGGCGGCGCGGGGTGGGATGGATGGAGCTGGGGTTTTGGTTGGAGTCGCGAGGCGAGACTCTTCTTCTTATGAAGTCCAATCTGACAGGTGGGCCACGCAGAGGATGTCCCAGTTTCTATCCGGAATCATCGGGTTCGACGGGTCGGAGCTCTATTGTTGTTGGGCTGAATGATAGAGAGCGTGACGGCTCACGCGCTAGAGCCGTGACCCACACACCGAGAGACGGCGGTGGCCCAGCGAGAGACGTTTGTAGACTACACTACACCGAAGCAGCCTTCATCGATGCTTTTAGGTAGTGGCGTTTCTTTTTTTTCGAAAAAAAGTCCAATTTACCTCCTCAATTATTGCTCTCAATCCGATTTTCCTCACTCGTGTACAAAACCAGTTTTTTTAATCCTCGTCGACTTTTAAAAACCGTTCATCCGTTGGTGGTTTTGTTGATGTGGCACCACGTCAAAGGAGGTAAATCTGACAAAGTTGAAAGTTTGAGAAGGTAAATCGGACTACAAATATTTTTATAAATATATATAAAAACTAAAAATTATTCAAATATATTTTTACATGAAAAAAAGCATATTTAAAAATATTAAAACCTGGTTTAATTTTAAAAAAATCAAAGAAAACTTGACTTAGCTCAAAAAATTATGAAACTAGTTTCAGATTTTTTTTTCTAAAATCATGCTCTATGCTATGGTGCCTAGATTGAAATATCTTCTTCATGTCACTTGATTCTATTTGTACAAATATCATGACCCATGTGCTACCATCTAGATTTTCGTGTCTTGTTATGCTCCATAATTCATTGTACTAAACTTAATTAAATTTAATAGCTTGTAAATTTTAATTAAGTATATTAAACAAAAGGTGCACGCAATCACATAGTTTATTACAACTACTTTGAAAAATTATATAGGACATAGGACCAGTGCACACTACGGTCCTAACGATGCTTCACTGGTGCTTCTGTGTAGTTCAGATGATCAATATCGACTAATTATAATAGATACGAGAGCCTATACAAGAACACAAGCACCAAAATAAGTTCATCAAGATTCAAACAATTTCAAGCTAGGTACCGTAACATAGAGCATGATTTTAGAAAAATCCAAACCATGTCTCATAATTTTTTGAGCTAAAATAATTTTTTTTATGAATTTTCAAGATTAAACCAGGTTTAAGATTTTTAATTGCACTTTTTCCCATGTAAAAAGTATATTTGAATATTTTTTGATTTTTTATTAATTTTTAGATATTCTTTATAAAAAATATTTAGTCTTATTTACCTCTTTAAACCTTCAACCTCGTTCAATTTACCTCCTCTAACGTGGTGCACATTAGCAAAACCCTCGTCAAAACTGTCAGGGTGCAAAACTTCTTTTCTACTTTTCTCTATTAATTGTTTTTCATTTTTATTTTTTCCTTTATGTTTTGTTTTATATTTTTTATAATTAAGTTACTAATATATTTTATTATTTCTATATATTTCCTAGCATTTTTTGTTTATTTTGTATTTACCTTTTTATTCTTTGGAGTTTCACTATAATTAACTATTAATTATTTTATTTTTATTTTCTATATTTTATGAGATACATGTGATGTTCGCATAGTACAGATGATGTTCTATGATATATTTTGAATTATTTATGCCGTATAGATGGGATATTCTACCATTATTTTTGAGTATTCAGGTAGTATCCATGAGATATTGTATGTTACCTATCATCATGCTCGAACCGTGCCATCGTGATGTCGTCTCGTTCCTAAGGGTCCTATCCAATTACGATTCTCATTGGACCGTTAATCTTTATTAAGCCTCACAACTGCATATGCTTGGTGTTCGCCTTTAGGTCAGTTAAACCACCGCTAAACGATAAATGGTGGTAAATTGTTTTGTTTAGGGGGTAAACTAAAATTAAACGGTTGACCATTTAAATGGTAAAAAATGAAAAAAAACGGTCTTAAACAACCTAAACGTAACAGAGGTAAACAGTATTAAACGGGCTAAATAGCTGTTTAGGCGAACATGAGGCAAATCTAGTTGAGTTTTACGTGTATAAATTTGTATACTTAAGTCTATTATATTCATAAATATGTACACTTATTTGTTACATGCATAAATATGTATATTTGATTCTTTTCACATGCATAAATATATATACATACGGAAATAATTGATTTTAACTTACACAAATATATGTAAAAATTCTAGAATAATTGATTTTACACCAAAAAATATACATATTTTGATAATATTGTGTAGAACCGTTTGAATCCGTTTAAACACCATCTAAACCGTTTAAATGCTGAACAAAAGATGACCGACTATTTACTGTGCATGACAGAGACGAAGGTGGATACGTGGTGTAAGTTTCTATTTGATGTAGTGTTTTTATTTTTCCTTTTATTTTGTATTTTATTTTCCTTTTCTATTTATATCTTTTTTACATTCATTTTCCTTTTTTTTCTTTTATTTCTATGATTTTGTATGCGTGGGTTACATTAGATACTTAAACACTTCGCTTTGCTTAACTATAGAAAATAATTTGTGTATGTATGGTGTATTTTTTGGATTTATCTAGGTTATATCATATACCAAAATATTTGACTTTATTTAATTATAGAAGGCCAAACAGCTCTCATAAAGCCAAAAACTCAAAAGCTCACTATAATGAGTTTTTGCGTTTTGTTTTTTGAAAGGACAAAAAACTAAGGTATAAAAGTTCTCACAAAGCCTAAACAAACAGGCCCTAAGAGCCGAGCTATATACAATAGCTGTCTTTCATTTATCTATGAAAAACTTTTTTATTGCTACTTTTACCCATATCTCTCCGTTTCTTTTTTAATCCTCCTCACATTCACTTTATGGTTGTCCACGCCATGGCATAGGCTCCCATGTCCACCTTGTTGCTTGCATGAGAACCAATCTCTCATCTCTCTCCTTACTTCTCTCCTCTACATCAACATTGCTTGGCTATTTAGATTATTATTGTACTTGCTCTAATCGTCCACGTTTCTATATCTCTTGTTGTACAACTTTTTCTAGAAAATGTAATACAGATCTCAAAAGCAAATTTAAGAGGTCGGCTTAATATTAGGGCTCCTTTGATAAAGCTTCTAAAAGACCTTTGGCTCCCGCTTCTCAAAAAGACCTAGCAAATAGGGTAAAAAAATAATTTCACCTTTAAAGCCACCAAAGAGTCAAAAACTTTTTTAAACTAAGAGTTGGAGTCCAAAAAATTTAGCCCATATTTTGCACGGGTTCAAACGGCCCCAATTCCTTACCACAGTGCGTGGAGGAGTTAGAGCCGATTAAGCTAGTCAAAAATAGTGGTTTCACCGGCTCTTATTTTATTTTGAGAGAAGAGAGAAGAACTCCTCGCTATAGTGCACGGAGAAGATACAGTTAAAGCTACCCAAAGCTATGCCAAAACAGGGTCTTAGTTTCTACCGCTACCGGCTTCTCCCAAAAATACCTAGCAAAGCCATTTTACCACGTATTTTACAATGTGCTTTAGCTCCATGAGAGGACGCCGAAACTATTTTAAGAGGAGCCGGAGCCCTTTCACACAGACTCTTAGTCACTTATGATTAACTGTTTCTTTGGCGTCTGTTTTTCTAAAAAAGCCTATGAGTCTCACTTAGCGCAAGTTTAGTTACTGCGGGTTAATTGTTAGCTAGCTAATTTTTAGCTCAAATTAGCTCTAGTATATCCAAACATGAGGGCTAGTAGATAGCTAATTTTTCAGCCAAACTTTCAACTAGTTGTTAGCCAACTAGCTAGCCAATCATAACTAATTTGGGCTAATTTTTAGCTCTAACCAGTAACTAGTCATATATATCAACCCTTACCCAAACTCGAACTAGCGGAACCAACAGATTGGGCCGAGTAAGATGACATGGCGGAAATTTGATTTTTTAATGAAATCTCGGGAACTGTTGGAGAACTAGGGTGATTTTTTATTCCTATTATTTTTTGCAAGCTTTGAAAACTTGATTTTTTGGCACTCATTTTTAAGGCGTTATTGGGGATGGTCAAAGATAACTAGTGATGGAGGAGTACGGTTTATTTGGACCGTTGCACATAGTTTGCATAATTTAATTCTGTTGGACATCAATTAGAACGATAGGCGTGCTCTATTTTTTTCTTCGATCGGACATTGTGCCCGTATTTCATTAAGAGAAAGTTTTGGATAAAAACAAACAACGTTGATCACGTACGTTGGCGAGGGGCCAGCACGCGTCGATCAAAGAAATCCTAACTACCGGGATTACAAAGCCGATGTTACATAGCAAACGAACGTTGCGACCACAACCGCAAGCGAAGAGAAACCGGCTTGAACCCAGTCCTCCGCTTCTTCAACCATAGCCTTGTAGATGATCTCAATACGTGACGCTACCCCTTGGAATGTACGGCTGTTCCTTTCCTTCCAGAGCGTCCAGGAGACGAGCAGCACAGACTGTCGAACGGCGGCCGTGCGTTGAGGCGTAACCTTAGTCTTTGCTGCATCCACCGTTCACCCAGATCATCCGGTCGTTCCGGCACCAACGCAACCAAACCGACGGGCTCCAACAGCAAGAACCAGAGTTGCCTGGCCAGAACGCAACCAAGCAATAGGTGCGCTACGGTTTCCCTTTCTTGGTGCGCAATCATCGTTGTCCTGGAGGGCATGCCGTTTCCTACCGTTTCCTACGATCCGCGGTCCAAAGCGGCCGGTGCAAAGCGATCCAGAAGAAAAATTTTACTCGTGGCGGCGCCTTAGTCTTCCATAGCTCCCTGTCCCCAAGCAGCGACGTGGAACCGGCGAAGAAAGCACGATAGGTAGAGGACGCTGAGTATCTACCATCAGGCGACCACGTCCAGACAAACCTATACGAGAGCAGTGGAT